CAAAATGTAATTTGGCATCTCAACTTTTAATTTAAACATTTATTATGAAGGATGTGTCCATGATGGAAATTGAAGTAGAGCTGTCCTGCTCTGTTACTTAAACCTAGTGTTCTCAGCTGTTGTGGAATATAGTTTCCATAGTGACTCAGAAATTGCTGTTGTACAGTCAGAGCCTGTGACAGCTGCTGGCTTTGTTTTGTGGTAGGCACCAGGATCATCATGTCCTTTTCATGTTTGTTTACCATTTTGGACTTGCTTCACTCATTGTCTTTTCACCTGCCAGTGTGCTTTAACATTTTCTAGATAATTTGGAGGGTTCCTGGTAATGTTTAACTGTAATTTGCCAGGCTGTCTTCTTTGAGTTGCGCTGGGTTGTTGAACCTCAATGGCTGTGCTATTTTTGTGTGTGAGTGTGTTTGTTTTCAATATATTTTTAGTTTCTTTCTTTCCTGTTAGGCTGCCAACAGTTAGTTTTTGTTGTTGTAGGTATGCTTGCCTCAAATTCGCTAGTCTTCCCCTTCTGATAGGCTATTTCTAGTGTGATGCTAGTTTTGAAACTGTTACTGCCCTTGTGAAGATTAAATGAAAAATAGAGTAAATGGATTCTAAAATAGGTACTAGTCATTAAAGTAGGCGGAAGAACAGTACAACTCTGGGATCAAGATTATCAGGGGTCCATATCTCACCTATAAACCTAGTGGTTGTAACTTTAGGCAAGTTACTTCTCTAAGACTCATTTTCTTTCTTTCTTTATTTTTTTTAATGTTTTATTTATTTCTAGGAGAGAGAGAGAGACAGTGTGAGCAGGGGAGGGTCAGAGAGAGAGGGAGTCACAGACCGAAACAGGCTCCAGGCTCTGAGCAGGCAGTCAGCACAGAGCCAGAAGAGGGGCTCGAACCCAAGAACCGAGAGATCATGACCAAAGCGAAAGTCAGACACTAAACAGACTAAGCCACCCAGGCGCCCCAACTCATTTTCTTTAATTAAAAAGTTGGGACAGTAGGAATACCAGCCTTGGACTACACCAAAAGAAAAATCTTTTGCATAGTGAAGGAAACCATCAACAAAATGAAAAGGCAACCAGCCTACTGAATGGGAAGGAGAAGATATTCACAAATGATCTATCTGATAAGAGGTTGATGTCCAAAGTATACAAAGAACTTCTATGACTCAGCATTCCCTCACAAATAAATAATCCAATTAAAAATGGGCAGAGGACCTGAATAGACATTTTTCCAAAAAAGACATGCAGATGGCCAACAGACACATAGAGAGATGTTTAGCATCACTCATCATAAGGGCTGTGTAAATCAAAACTAAAGTGAGATATCACTTTACATCTGTGGGAATGGCTAGAATAAAAAAAGACAAGAAATAACAAGTGTTGGTGAGGCTATGGAGAAAAAGGAGCCCTCGTTACTGTTGGCAGGAATGTAAATTGGTACAGCCGCTGTGGAAAACAGTATGGAGGTTCCTCAAAAAATTAAAAGTAGAAATCCCATATGGGCCAGTAATTCCACTACTGGTTATTTACCCAAATAATGAAAACACAAATTTGAAAATATATATGCACCTCTGTGTTTATTGCAGTATTATCTACAATAGCCAATATATGAAGCAGCTGAAGTGTCCATCAGTAGATGATTGGATAGAGAAGATGTGGTGTGTGTGTGTGTATGCAATAGAATATTACTCAGCCATAAAAAGGATGAGATCTTGACAGTTTTCACAACAAGAATGGACCTAGAGGGTATTATGCTAATTGAAGTAAGTCAGAAAAAGACAAATACCATATGACTTCACTTATATATGGAATCTAAAAAACCAAATGAATAAACAAATAAAAATCAGAAATAGACTTATAAGTACACAGAATAAACTGATTGTTGCCAGAAGGGAGAGAGGTTGGGGGATGGGCAAAATGGCTGAGGAGGGGGTAGGAGATACAAGCTTCCAGTTTATGGAATGAATAAGTCATGGAGATAAAAGATACATCATAGAGAATATAGTCAAAATGGTATCATATAGGGTTGGTTGTATGATGACACATGGTAGCTACACTTGTGGTGAGCATAGTATAATGTATACTTTATAGTTTGAGAAAATCTGTGCCTTTTAAACCTCAGAGGGCAGGTGTATTAACAAACTACAGAATTTTCAAATAAATGAAGAATTCCATTACCTCACTATTACTGTTGATGAATTAGCCTCTGACGACACTTAAGCATCAAAACACACAGCGTCTTTTCGGGTGAGGGGCCGACATGAGTGATTTGATTAACTTTATGAAAAAGAACTATTGAACTTTACCCAGTTTGTTTCTGCTTTGGAATATATTCTATATTCTATGAAGTAGCCAAGTCTTTTTCCATGACCTGTTTTTATTGTTATAAAGTGTTATTTCTTAGGCACTAACTGGGTTCAGAGGATACAAATTTAAAATCACAGCATCAGCAAATCTCATGATTGGAAGGGATGTTAAAGATCATGTAGTCAACTTGTCAGATAGCTGAGTTTTCACAAAGCATTTATTTATCTCTTCAGAAGTAGACACATTCTATGTCTTGGGCTTATTCATTCCACCATTCAAATCTTCAGAAACTTCTCCTGCTAAAGAGTTATTGTTTTCAGTGTTGTGTTGAGTGATTTTTTTCTCCCTCTGTGGCTTACCCCATTGATTCTGACTAACTCTTGGACCAATAGTCTAATTGCTTTTCTACAGTATTTAAGGCAACTCTCCTGTTTTTCTCCAGGTTATATATCTTCTGATCTTTCATCTCTTCCTCTTGTCTCTTAAAATATAATATTCAGGGGTACCTGGGTAGCTCAGTTGGTAGAGCATCCAACTTTGGCTCAGATCATGATCTTGCAGTTCATGAGTTCAAGCCCCACATCAGGCTCACTGCGATCAGCCTGTCAGTGCAGAGCCCTCTTCAGATCCTCTGTCCCCCTCTTTCTGCCCCTACCCTGCTTGTACTCACCCCCCAAAATAAATATAAAATATATATATTTATTATACATATATATGTATAAAATGATGTTCAAAACTATGAATAGTATTCCAGGCAGAGTCTGACCTGTGCTGAATGGAACAAAAATCTCACTTTGCACACTGAAGATACTACATTTCCACTACTATAGTTAGAATCACATTAATTTGGGGAGCAACCTCATCATCACCTTGATTTCCTTTGAAGTCAGTTGTCAACTTAAGTCTATAAGGCTTTTTCACATGTAGAGATGTCATGACTCACCTATCCTGTACCACTACAGTTCTTTTAGACCCAAGTGCAGGATGTAGGTTTATCCCTGTTCAAATTTATTCTGTTAGATTCAGTCCATTGAAACAGTGTCTTGGAGTATTTTTGGTTCATGGTTGGGTCATCCAGCATATTTGTCTTCCTGCCCAGCCCCTTGTCATCTGCAAGTTTGATAAGTGTTTTCTTTTCTACATCTTAGTTGTTAACAGAGATGTTGATGCAGGCCAGGCTGGAATCATTCCATTGTGCCATACTATTGCTAGTGGATTTTAACAGGCAGGATTAATTGTCAGTTTAGACTGACTATTCCATAACTATAGCAGGAATTGTCTTTTGATGAATAGTCCAGTTGTAGTCACTTAAAAACTTAAGTAAGAGATAATAGAAAGAGGGATGTTCATTGAGATTAGGAACTAGTTTGGGAAGTTGGTGACCCTATTTATATTCTTTTTTTTTTAAATGTTTTGTTTAAAAACATTTTTTAAATGTTTATTTATTTTTGAGAGATGGAGAGAGACAGAGCACAAGCAAGGGAGGGGCAGAGAGAGAGGGAGACACAGAATCAGAAGGAGGCTCCAGCTCGGAGCTGTCAGTACAGAGCCCTATGCGGGGCTTGAACCCATGGGTCTGTGAGGTCATGACTTGAGCCAAAGTCAGATGCTTAACCGACTGAGCCATCCAGGCCCCCCCTGTTTATATTCTTGTATATAATTAAGTATATTATTATATTTACTAATTAATAAAATAAAATATTCTTAAATTCTTATGGAAAGTTTTAAGAAGAGAGCCTTATGGACTAGAGGCAGTGTGGTATAGGAGAAGCCCCAAACTTAACCCTGAGATTTTTATTCACTGATTTATTTAGCAAATAAATACTAAGTATCTACAATACTTAAGCCCTAGATATACAGTTGTTAAAAAAAAGAAAAAACCATTTCAGACTTGATCTTTTCCTTCAGTGGAACTTATATTTTCATGGGGGAAATGATTCTATAATTACATAAGTGAAATCATAATACTTTCTGTGATCTAGGTAAGTGCTGTGCATCAAATAACGCAAGTCATATATTTAAACACTTCTAATAGCTCCATTTAAAAAAGTAAAAAGAAAATATTATGAAATTAATTTTAATAATACATTTCATTTAACTCACTATATCTGAAATAATATTTCAACCTGTAAGTAGTATAAAATATTTGAAATATTTGTAGTCTTTTTGTTGAACTAGATCTTTGAAATCTTAAACTTATACTACATGTCAGTTGGAACTGATCACATTTAAAGTACTCAATAGCCACATGTAGCTAGTGGCTTCTGTGTTGTACACACAGCATTATACCCATCTTTACAGATTGACTACTCTGTGGTATTGCGCAGATTACTTCCTTCTTTAGGACTCATGTTTTCATTCAGTAAAATGACTTACTTATCTTCTAACAACTAAATGTATGTCCCTTTCATGTATGAGAGTGCCTTCTGAGGTGTTCTAAATAATCTCTTTCTTGATCTGGGTGTTGCTTACATGGCTATAAATAACATGTAAAAATCCATCAAGCTATATACTTAAGATTTGTGTGCTTTACAGTATCTATGTTATACTTCAATAAAAGTGTTTCTTTACAAAATAAGGTCATTTCCAGTTTTTCTTTATTCTGTTCTTTGCTGAAATTACTTATTGCACATGTGTGATGTAAAAAATGTAAACAACCAGTTACTCTTTATGTCTTCTTCTCATCCAGGATGTGTCTAGTCCGAATGAAACAGGAAGGCAGGAGTGGGAAATATATGTGTCGGATCATAGTTCATTTTATGTGGGAGGATGTTGAGCAGCGTGGCAGAGTCATGGGGGTAAGTAAACGCTATCAGATTCTGGTCCTGGACAATTCCAATGAGAGATTGCCTGACTTAAGTTTCATCTCATCTAGAATGGCTTTGCTTTTAGATTTTTGTATAATGCTGCCTAATGTCAAGTGGTAATTCAGCTAGAGTTGCTTCTGCCTCTGTGGGGACTGACATGCCATGGGCACTTTATTTATGTGTCACACATTATTATGGTTTGTCAATGTGAGGACATCCTGTGTTTAGAAATGAATGTTAAGCCCAAAATAATAGAATTTTAGGACACTGTGCATTTGACACCAATTCAGTGTTTGAACAGGTTCTCCTCTATGTTAGTTTTGATGGAAATACCCCGGCATTGGGCCTCCAGCTGCCCTCAGAAACTGAAAAACATGTCTTTGATCACTAACAGCCTAGAATAATTTGGCATGGTATCTACTGAAAATGTACATTAGTATGTTTAATAATTAACCTGAGAAAGGAGGATATATAACATATATATAGCATAGAATGTAATGATAATAGAAAAATGTCACCGAAACATTAGAATACAGTTGGTTATATAAAGAGTAATCTTTTCCTTTGTATATGTTATGTATTTTTGTATCTAAACCATATTTTAATTGATTATAATCTTTGTTTATTTCCCATTTTGTTGCCTCCCAGTTTGGGACCATCTAAAGCAGAATTGTCAGATGGGTCATAAAATGGGTTAATTTGGTTTTTTTTTTTCATTACAAATTTCTCCGTATGGACTAAGGAGTAAACAGAGTTTACATATGTATTATAAAAGTCATGCATGTTCATTGAATAAAAATCAAAGAGTAAAAAGCGTTTAATGGAGGAACAAGTGTCTTTTCCCCAGGCCAACTCCCCCAAAGTAACCTTTGTTAAGAGTTGATGTGTAGCCTTCTGGTTGTTTTCTATACAAATGCAAATATATAAATGTATATTCTTTTAACATAACACAAATGGGCTTCTACTACACACAATTTTACATCTTGGTTTTTTAACTTAATACATATTAGGTATGTTTTTACTTTACAGTTATTATTTTATATATATTTTTTATTTATTTCTGAGAGAGAGAGAGAGGGAGAGAGAGCGTGACAGGGAAGGATCAGGGAGAGAGGGAGACACAGAATCTGAAACAGGCTCCAGGCTCTGAGCTGGCTATCAGCACAGAGCCTGATGCGGGGCTCGAACCCACGAACTGTGAGATCATGACCTGAGCCAGAGTCGGACGCTTAACCCACTGAGCCACCCAGGCGCTCCTACAGTTGTTTTTTAAATTCAAAATGTTTTAACTAAGATCGAAATCCCCTTAATCCTCAATCTCATTCCTGGCCAGTTATTTCCTTTCAAGAAGTAATCACTATTTCCACTTTGGTATATATCTTTCACAGCTTTTTTCTGTATAACTTCTTACAGAAAATATGTATTACTGGTTTTGTGTTTATATATTTTATTATACATGATATTGTCCTCTATGTGCTAACTTGTAATAAATACGTACTTAGTTTTTTTCACTCAACAGTATGTCTTGGAGATTTTCCATGCTGCACAGGAGTTAAGTGGAAGGTTGTCCACATGTTTTGCTTATTGTAGTTATTGTCACATACTCCTATGTGTCTGATGGTATCATGTGCTTACTCTTTGTAAAATTGTGGTCTTTGAGACTAAACCATGGAAATGATGGTTGCCCACTGAGAGCCTATTTCCAAATTCCCATGTCTTTGGAGGAGCTGCATATATAGGAAGCACAGTGGACATGGGTTTGTTTTTAGATATCTTCAGTGACATTTACATGCCTTTCTCTGGGGCAATAGAACATTGGCATTTCTGTACATTCTAAGATGATAGCGTATATCAGAGTTTTAGCTGGTATCATCATCATCAAATTTGTTTTGGATTCAGTGAGTATTGACTGTGTTTATAATTGTGTTCTTTGGTTTCTTATTCATGTGACTAAACTTTCTGCTATCTTTGCTGCCCAGAGTGGCTCATCAATCTTTAAGCTATTTGTGCAGTTTGGTGTTCCACATGCCCTCAAGCATTTACCGTGCAATGCTGTGGCAGCACACAGTGGACATGGGTGGTGCTGGTAGTTTCAGATCATTTAATGATAACCAGTGACACGCCCTGGCCAGCCAAAGCCTGACTGTCTGCGGTGCAGTGACATAGTAGCTTTTCTATTAGTTAGCCTGTTTTTCTTTTTCTTTTTTTTAAATTTTTTTTAATGTTTTATTTATTTCTAGGAGAGAGAGAGAGACAGTGTGAGCAGGGGAGGGTCAGAGAGAGGGAGTCACAGACTGAAACAGGCTCCAGGCTCCGAGCTGGCAGTCAGCACAGAGCCCGACACGGGGCTCGAACCCACGAACCGCGAGATCATGACCCAAGCGAAAGTCGGACGCTTAACCGACTAAGCCACCCAGGCGCCCCAGTTAGCCTGTTTTTCTCATCACTATTGACTAAACCCGGCTGGATGTTGGACTGGTGGAGCCGTGTGGGCCACTGCTGTCCACAATGTGAATAGCTTAATGAGCCATAGGTTACTGACTCTTGAATTACAGAAACCTTTTAGTTATTACCCTTCTACCATGAATTTCCTTTGGACCTCTGGTTTCCTTTGGTTCCTTTGGACCTCTATATATATCTCCATCACAATCTCCAACACTTTAAACCTTCTCCTGTGTTACTTTATAATGTCACTTCTACTTGACTGCATGCTTAATGAAGGCAGGAGACCTGTCTTAACACTTTTTTTTTTTTTTTTTAATATTTTTATTTATTTCTAGGAGAGAGAGATAGAGACAGCGTGAGCAGGGGAGGGTCAGAGAGAGAGGGAGTCACAGACTGAAACACGCTCCAGGCTCTGAGCTGTCGGTCAGCACAGAGCCCGACACGGGGCCCAAACCCACGAACTGCGAGATCATGACCTAAGTGAAAGCCGGACGCTTAACCGACTAAGCCACCCAGGCGCCCCTGTCTTAACGCTTTTTTGCTTACATAGTAAACATCAGATAAATAAATACTTGTTGAATGAATGAATTGAAATTCTATTTTAAAGACAACTTATCAGATAGATGATACTTGATTTGTTTCTAGTCTATATGTACCTCAGTGCAGTCCTACAGGAATTAGTTTCTCCTTCCCCCTCCTTCCCATTTTAACCAACCATTTTTCTTTCTGAATTGTTCTAGATATGGTGTTGTCCTGTTAGATCAGTGTTAGTAGAAAGGTGTTAGATCAGTGTTTTTCACATTTTAATGTGCCTGTAGTCCACTGGGGATCTTGTTAAAATACAGATTCTGATTCAGTAGGTTGGGGTGCCGCCAGAGTCTACATTTCTAGAAAGCTTCAGGTGATGCCAGGGCCACAGGTGGAGCTGGGTGAGGATGGGGCAACCACACTTTGAATAGTCAAGTTTTCGATGATCCATAATACTCCCTAGGTATAGACTTGTAAATTCACCTGCGTGAAGAGAAGTGCCAAGCCCCGGTTTAGTTACAAAGACTATAAATAAAAGATGGTGTGGAAAGAGCCTAAGTGTCCATCAACAGATGAATGGATCAAGAAGATGTGGTTTATCTATACCATGGAATACTACATGGCAATGAGAAACAATGAAATCTGGCCATGTGTAGCAACATGGATGGACCTTGAGGGTGTTATGCTGAGCAAAATAAGTCAGGCAGAGAAGGACAAATATCATATGTTTGCACGTATAGGAGGATTAGGAGGAACTTGACGGAGGAACAAGCGGGAGAAGAAGGGCGGAAATGGTGGGGGAAAGGGAGAGAGGCAAACCATGAGAGACTCTTGAATGCTGACAAAAACTGAGGACTGATGGATGTGGGGGGGAGGGAAATGGNGGGGGGGAGGGGGGGATGGGCATGGAGGAGGGCACTTTGGGGATGAGCACTGAGTGTTATGTAGAAACTAATTTGACAATAAACTATTTGTAAAAAAAAAAAAAATAAAAAAAAAAATAAAAGATGGTGATTTAAAAATAACAGAGGTTTGGATGAGTTGGGGAATTAGTATTATTGCTTTTCTGTTATAGTAGACTATAACTACCAACTCTTGGTATAAACAGACAGACACCCTTTATACAGGCAAGAAAATTATTTGTTAACCACTTCTCTGTTGTGATTGTGATTGTATATAGAGGGGTTCTTTGTCTTCTGAGTGCGTACAGCCTAAAGAAATGGGAAAGTTAGGGACATGTGGCTGGAGAAAGTAGGAGGGAGCCAGTCTGGCCTTGTTCTGACCCTGGCTGCCAAGTCTTTCCTCCTCTGTGCTTCAGTTTCCTTTAAAAAATGTGGATTGTTGGGGTGCTTTGAAATCTATGATTTGAAGGTGGTAATTTGTAAATCTTTCTCTGTGTAATTTGGCATCCCAGGTGTACATCTTTAAGAAAACTCATATAAAAAGTAGAATTTATAAGACTGATCAACGAAGTGGTGATTTTTTTACATGCCAAAGAATTCTTAAAGGCTATTACTTTGAGCGGAGCCATTTGTGAATTAATGAGGAATCAGAAATTTGAATCAAGAATTCCCTTGAAATTAGAGTTGCAATCTCATTTACTGAGGACATTTTCATTTAAAAAATTTTTGCTTTTTATCAGCTTTTAGGAGCCCAATATTGTGAAAAACAAGGCAGACTCATATATCATTAGTGAAGCCGGTATAAAATAAAAGTGTTAAGTTTGAGGTTACAAAAATCACATCAATAATTTAGAGAGTTCTAACTTAAAAAAACATTATTTGGGATTTAAACATATAAATTAGCTGTGGAAATAAAGTTCATTATATCACCTCATCTGGTCTTGTTTTATTTCATTAACTGGTTCTTAAAAACCTTTGTGAGCTGAGTTGCAGCTGAAGAGGTTGGAGACCATTTTTCCTTGGGCCCTTGCCTCACTCCTGAGTGCTGGTAAGAGTAGAGAACTAAGAATTGACGCAGCTGTAAAAACAGACAGCGCCTTTGGCCTCAGCACTTTC